CGCGGATAACAAGTTGTAATGTGTGACCACATACACTTCATCATCCTCTTCTTCAGGATATACCGCATAACATCCATAGTTAAACCGTAGAGTCCCATGGTCACTGCGACCCAGTGATGTGCTTGTAGTTATTCCATCGACCGTGAGTTCTTCGTTGGTGAGCACAAGATCAAATATCGACTGCGTGTTAACAGTTCGACATCCGGTGTGAGAGTCACGAGGTTGTACAGAGCGTAGCTGGAAATTATCTCTTGTAAACAGAATTTGAACTGCATGCTATCGGTCGTCGCTATTCCCAGGTCATGCACATTAAAGGCGCCTGCGATGAGAATGTGACTGTGTGTTTTGCTGAAAGCAACCGGAAGAACGAGGTTTAGTTTGGAGTTCATTTCACACGTAGAGTTTGGTGGACGGTAAATCACAGCTATAAGACATATGTTTTTGTTCCACAACCATATTCGGTACCAAAGCGAATCTGGAGCACGGATCCCCGGTTGATCAATAAGTTCCTATCGGAAATTATCCACGTAATACGGAATTATGGCACCACCACTTCCAGCCCTGTGATTCCGAAGCTGCGACATCAAAGGTAAATTGACTTCAGCATCTGCTATCTCGTGGCTTAACCAGGGCTCTGTAATCATAATGAGATCCCGCGGTTGTGACGCCTGGTGTTCTGTAAGTTCGGCCAACTTACTAAGAAGACCTTGGGCGTTAGTATACAAACATGATAGTCATTTGGTGGTAGAAGTGTGTGGGTGAAGAACAAATTTGTGTTTACTTTTAAGCCGACCGCTCATCGGTCGGACGCAAAAGTTCCGTGATAGATTCCTGGCATACAAAAGGTTTGCTTAAGCAATCTTTCAATTAAAGTGGCAATGGGTTTTTCGTGGGTGCGTATAGTCTGGTCGACGAAGGTACGACCGTAATCTGGGCTATGGGGTACAACACTGACTTTGCTCACCTCTTCACATTAAACTAGGTTTTGGTATTAAAAGCATCAATACAAGTACTGTGAATTTGAGACCGATCATTCACTTTCATTACCCCAGCCTAATCGATAAGTTTCCTGTTTCTCTGTGAATTTGCATAATTTGACATCTTTACGAGCTACTTTGAAATACCAACAATATTCCTTCTCGTTCTTGGAATTGTAGCGACACGAGGAACAAAGAGCCACTGCTATGGACCATGGTAAGCTTATGAAGGCAAGGTGCTGCTCCTTTCGCTTAGAGGTTATGAAATACTGACTGCACGCCAGCGATACATCTACCCTGGGACGTGACCACACTGAAAGTACGGACATGATTTGAGGAGGTAGCTAACACCAATGGTTCAATTCACTTATTCAGCCGGTTCAATAAGCGGTGTGGAGCTTATTGTCGCGACAATCGCTTGCTACCTCTCCGGTAGCCACTATACCTATAGTTCAAGAAATGGTGCAGTGTCATTTTTAAATCAAACTATGAGCTGCTCCGGCTAACGCGATAAATCTGATAGCTGTTTGGCCCCCTATTGCAGATCTCACAATAGCTACTGCAGCCGGACTTTTTCGTTTAAATGTCAGTTGACCTATAGCGGCTTCCTTGAGAAGATTGTAGCAGTTTTCTAACTGAGAAGAAAGTGTGGCGCCACAAAGTTGAGTAGAAATATTCTTATGGAGACATCGTATCGGCTGATTATACTGTTGTGTCTGACTCAGGATGCATGACTTGACCGACAGATGCAAAACTGAAGGTCTAACATTCTGTTTGTTTTCTACTTGGGCCAGCATATACCATACAATTCCCCCTCGCATACTCCTTCCCTCATCGGAAAACGATTGGAGGGATATCCAACGGTTTCTGCGAAAACTCCGCAAAATCTTTCCAATCACTCTGATCCGATTCGTAGTGGATTTTTTCACACCCATTTCATCGCATACCAACCAACTTCCAACCACTCGACTTGATTACCAGCACTATCTCTAGCAGACTATTTCCCATCATTTTCTGACATTCCGTTCGCTATTTAGAGCCACTTTTGCAACTGCTTGCTGCTATTATGTGTTTACATCTTCAACTCTCGCGTCAGCTAGCCGGCCACATCGGCTGACTAATTTTCTCAGTCAGCTTCTTTGCTCTGCCGCGATCAGCACGCAGGTCAGTCAACACCGGCAGTCATCTGACGGAGTGGCTATTCGACGAACATGTTAACTGAAACAAGTATGCAGTGCGGCGGTGTCAAGCCAGAGCATGTCCAACGTGTGGATAACATCGCATCCGAAAGCAAACACGGACGATCGATACGCGCCAGGCTTCGTCACCTCGATCTCATCTCTCAACTTGTGTGGACCCGGATCGTCGTCCGTTAACCGCCCAGAAGCGTGCATCCGAGAATTGGACCCATATACGAACAAGCGAGACTGGTGTACACGCCGCTCAGCCGAGAGGTACGCCTTACCTACCTAGAGATTCAAACAACCATCCCAGCAACTAAGCAACAGGAACTAAAACCGCTTGGTTTGTGTCGCTTATTATATTTGAACTAGTACTTCGTGTCACTGTACGCGTCCTCCTATGGCTGTCCTACTAACATTTCTATACCATTTC